TTCCTCTGCTGCCACTTCTTCTTCAGCAGTCTTCTTCTTTCTCTCCATCTCCTCCTCTATCTCTGTCATCTTCGCCGCCTATTCCTCTGCGATAGCCTTCAACTTCGCTTGCTTCTCGTGCTCTTTTTTCTCTCTATTCTCTTTAACTAAGGCGGTCATCTTTGCTTGCTGCTCAGGGGTGTAGGGGCTAATATCCTTCCCACCACGGGTCTCAACCATGGTGATAAGTGTACAACCGGATTAGTGGTTCCAGACCTCACCACGTAGACTCTAACCCCCCAAGCCTACCGATCTGTACCGGTCCTTGGGAGGGTTCGTATCCTCCGGGACAGTTGAGTCGTCAAACACAGATCCTCAGCCTTACTTGGTCCGGTAGGGGAGTGGTTCAATCATGCCCTCAATACTTAAAGACTGCCTAGTGTGTCAGCCCTAACTGCTGTTCAGGCCCACTGAGTCCTGCCAACCGTTTCCAGCCGGTCAGCACCGGTCCTTGGGAGGGTTAGCCCCCCCTGGAAAGTTGGATCAGCCACAATCTTAGCCCTACAAGGTCAGACTAGGGTTTCGTCATCCAAGCCCTATCCTTCATCCACAGAGTGCTATCACCTAGGACAGAAGAGACTCAATTCAGAAAGAATAGACAAACTGACTTGACTCAGCAAGTACCAAGGGGTGTGTGCACATCCATAGGGCAAGGGGTAAGCTAAAAGCTTGGCGAGATATTACCAACTCCAGCTTGGTCAAAGTCTTGGTCAACGGTCTTGGTCAACACCGGTCAACGCTGTGGTCAACCCCTGGTCAACCCCCCGTCAACGCCGGTCAACGCCTCTGGTCAACCCTCCGGTCAGCTATGGCTGCCGGCTCATCTTGCTCGCCATCCCTCTTCTTCTTCTTCACCTTCCTCGCCTCCTTTCACCCCGCTGTCTTCTTTTTCTCTTTCTTTTTTTTTTTTTTTTTTTGATCGGCCTCCTCTTCGCCTCTTGGCTATAGCAGACTCTCCCCCTTCACGGTCTCTCCCCCTCTGTCCTTTTCTCCCTCTACTCGTCACTCCGTGGTGCAAGCTTCACGGCTATGGCCGCCGTCTTCTCCTTCGTGGACTGCGCGGCAACTTCACAGGTAAGTGACAACCAAACTTGTATCGCTCATCTCTCTCTCTCTCTCTCTCTGTCTTCTTCTTCGTCGTGGTCATCTTGCAGGTGTGCGGCTGCTTCATCCACCTCAGGTCCGCTATGGCGGATTATCACCTCCGGCGGCCACCTCTGCTATGGCGCATCAGGTCCTGCACACGACGGCGCGCATGGAATAGCGGGTACCAGCTCCAATACCAATGCATTCAGACTAGTCTTATTTACACTTTTCATGTATGTAAACAGCAGCACAGCACACTGGCGACATGCGCCCACTCAGAACTCAGAGATATGGCTTCCAGGTACGAGTTCACTTTCAACTGGCTATGGCGACTGAGCGCCCAAACAACTCACTGTTCACACACTGGATCACCCTAGATATCCCACACACGTCACTCTGAACACCCACGCATGCACACACACTCTTCCCACTAACTACAGCTATGGCAGCTATGGCTGCCTCTAACCTCTCGCTGTGCTAACTCCTTCTCTCTCGCCCACTGCGTCCTCTGGGCTCACTGCAGACCTCCTTGCACAAGTCGCTGTGGCAGCGCCGCATGGCTCACGCCGGAATGAATGAATGGCTGGGCGCTGCCTCCTGATTTATACTTCTGCAGGTCGTTGGTCTGGCCCATTTCCCTTGCCCAAACTGCACACAGTCCCGTGCGGTACTTGCTGGACTGACTGGGAACGGGGACTGTTGACTCAGCAGGGTAGATTTCTACCACTTGCCCACTTGCCTCACCACTTGACCACTTGCCTCTGCTTAAACGTGGGCAACTTCTTAAGGCCACTACTGGGACCTTCCGGAAGGCCGTAGACTTGGYCTTTCGTGACTGTAGCAGCTACGATTCTGACCCTTCAGGACTGTAGCAGCTACCACCTTGACCTTTCAAGAAAACTACAGCTACGACCACTAGACCTGACTAGGACTCCTATCCGACAGGTCTACGGATCGAACCCATGCTGCCTACGAACCCTATGACAACCTATTGACTGTTGGAAATACACAGATCGTGGGTTCAACTCTACGGGATGACACAGGTACTGTACATGGGTAAGGCGAGGTCTAGGGATCAAACCCTGGGTACTGCATCTGCTACTGCTACAAGGTGAAAACCGTTTCATGTGTGTGTGTGTGTGTGTGTGTGTGTGTGTGTGTGTGTGTGCGCGTGGTGGGTGGCGGGGGGGTCGGGCGACCCCTCCCCCACCAATCAATCAATCAATCAATCAACAAAAAAGAAAAAAAGAAAAATCAAATGAATCTTCCACTAGAACATGGAAATATACAATACTGTGTGTGTGGGTGTGTGTGTGGGTGTGTGTGTGGGTGTGGGGGGGGGGCTGTTGGGGATTTGGGGGCGACCCTGCGCACACCAATCAATCAATCAATCAATCAATCAATCATTAAACAAACCAAAGAAAAAAGCGAAATCGAAAGAATCTTCCGCTAGAACATGGAAATATACAATTCTACCTATGTGTGTGTGTGTGTGTGTGGGCCTGTGGGGCCAATGGAAAGAATCTTCCGCTTTGTTTTTTTTGTTCACTCACCCAACCCCCCCCACCCAAAACATGTTTTTTTTTTGTTTTTTTTTTTACTTGAGGGGGTGGGACTGGGGTTGCGCCACCCCATGGCGCTTCCCGAATCCCCAATCCCCAACCCCCCTCCCCACCAGCCGCCAGGCATCCGCAAAGTCGCGCGTCCGCGGGGTTGCGGACTCAGCCGCAGCCTCACTTGTCCGCCGCCGAGGGGGACTCGTAGTTTTTCACCTATGCCTTTACTATCCCCTACGAGTGTACCCCGGAGCTCAAATCAAAGAACTCTTTCCCACAACCAGAATAACCCTACGTACTCCTGAGCTCAGATCAAAGAACGTGTTCGCACAACCAGAATAACCCTACGAACCCCTGAGCTCAAATCAAAGAGCTTGTTCGCAAAAGCAGAATAACCCTACAGGGACTCTTTTCTGATCAGACACAACCGGCCTACCGACTGTACATACAACTAAAATTGCCGCGAATGGTTTCAAACCAGTTGCTTAATAAAACGCTCTACACCTTTTCTTTCATACTAGTGCCATTTTTTTTCAAATGCTTCAAGAGAGAKATGATCATCAGATCTGATTATCCGATAATCAGACCTGATAATCAGATGTGATTATCAGATCTGATCATGAGATCTGATGATCAGAGCCATGATCATATTATCTGATGATCAGATCTCTCCATGAGATCCAGATCTCAAGATTTGATCTTATGATCACGGGAAGTTATGAATGAATTACTTGTGTGGATAGGTAAATAAACCCGGAGAGATACTGCACGCATTATTATTGAAAATGAGAAAAACGATACCCAGAACGAAAGACGGGAAAAGAAAGAACTGTACCCTTCCCTGTTGCACSCGTGGCCCCTCGCCTTGTACGCAACTGAAGCTGCAGATAGCCACTCTGACTTCGCCTTCTCTCCCTCCTGGCAACTGCTGCCCTATTCTTGCAAACAACCATTCCATAAAAAAAGAGCGAGCTGCTTGATGACCATAAAAAAACAGTCCGCCCACAGAGCGACTGGAGTAGCTACACAAGTACATCCCATCCTCAAACAGCATTTCCCTTGGCTGGCCTTTACTTTATGATTATCCCATTCTGCCCATAGATGAGACCGAGCTGCTTGATGACCATAAAATACGACGGCCGCCAGAAAGCGACTGGAGTTGCTACACAAGTGCATCCCATCCTCAACGGCATTTCCCTTGGCTGGCCTTTCTCTTTACGATGGTCCGTTGAAAGAAGGCCAGTCCCTTGTCCTCTACAACGGATAGTCGGCCTGAATGAACGCTGGGCATAACGCTGGGCATACATAACAGCTACTACACATTTGAGCCAGTTTTGCTCCTTACTAGAGAGACCCACAGAGTGGTTCTGAGTAGTCACCGACCCTAAGCGTCTAGTATTCAAAACGCAAGATCAGAAACTCAAATCCCTATTGGGCCTATTCCAATGCAGCAGTCCTAAGCAAGGGCCATCTGCCTCTGTGCACAAGCGTGACGAGTCGTACAAAACTTATCTATTTCGTGTAGACTTTCTGCGAGCAGAATAGAGTAATACAAGGGGATTCAACCCTTTGACACCCTATTCAGAAGAGTTTCGAGGGTCGACATTCACTCTACACCTTTGCTACTGCTGAAGGAAAGTCAGTCCCTTAGACGCGACGGGATCTCAACTATTTACCTACCGTCCACATCGTGAGCCATGTGACCGACCACCACAGGCCATGTAACATTGGATGCCGGGTAGTCCACATCGTGTAGAATTATCAGGTCTTTGTCCGAAATTACTTGAACTGGCGACCTCATTGCTTCAGGCGCTCGCCACAAGCCATCCGTCCATGAGCAGTTGAGCATTATCCCATCCTCTGAGAAGCTCTTAARAAAATTAGTTGAAAAGAGTACCACGAGACTCTAGGTGTTTTCTGGTTCATTAACAGGTGAAGAGTGTTTTGTGTGTCACTGAATGTACTAAATAACAATATCAGCAGGATAGTTACTAGTGGAATTGCGTATAAGTTTAGTCCGAAACGAGGATGAGAACACGAGTCCGAACACTCGCCTTCGCAACTCCGTTGCTCGTCCACGGAGCTCAAAAGAGTTTGGGGAGCGTGCSCGTTACTGAAGCTGGTTATTACGGCTCTTAGAAAGCTCCACAAGTGGATAAACTAAATCCAACAAGACAAGAAAAGAAAAGACTGAGAGTCGAGTCTCAGAGAAAGCTTCACCAGATAATGGCACTCCGCCCCTGGATCTGTGGCCCCCATCGTCACCCGCAACGTCTATTGCGCACATCCAGGAGGGTCGAGGTCTTAACCCCATTGGCAACCGTGCAGATCTGTCATCTGGAGGGCTGATARTCAATTGGTTCATCCGCACTTCATCTGCCGCCAGTGGGACCAACCAGAACCGGACGCGTTACGCACTGCGCAATGCACAAGACGACTTCGTCCCCCCTATTCCTCGGCGATAAATTCGTCTTGCTGGGGCCGGTCTCACTGTTCACCTCCCATCGGAAGTCCAGTTAGGTTCCAGCCGGCAGATCCAAACTTTATGAATCTTCCGTGGGGAGGCTCCTTTTTTGTCATCGTCTACGGCTGGAACACGTTCCCCAAACAGCGAGCACGATTCCCTCCTCAGGTTTTGGGCGGACCCCACGTGCAGCCTTCCCCCGTTTTCAATGACAACCATCCCTACTCATCGCCCCGCAATCTATCCTTACGTTCCCGGCCAGGCATCATGCCACTCATTTCATAAACCATTCATTTCTCTCTGTGCCTCCATGCCCTCACGAACTTCCCTTCGTCGTATCAATCAACAACGTCCTGCTCTGATCACTGTATATTATTACTATTATATAATTTACAGGATTAATAGCAAAATTATTGCTTTTTCCAAGTTTGGCAGCAAAAAAAACTTCGAGCGGACGACATTTTTGCTGCCAAACTTGGAAAAAGCAATATTTTTGAAATTAACCCTAATTTATATTGTATGATTTATATATATATCGTCAAATAGAACTGCCCGGTAAACCGTAGGCAGATAGGGAGAAGAGGACAACAAACGAGGGGCTGTGACAAACTGTTTCGTCGGAGTTTCACCGACTCATCAGGAGGCTGAACCCTCAACAGTCTGTAGAATCCCCTCACTGATTACACTGTAAGTGATAATCCACCTTAACCAAAATC